AAACAATGTGTAAGTATCTACACATATACAAAAACCATCGATAATGGTCATCATCGATGTTTTGAGTAGCCTAAACATCGAACATCGATGTTGAGCTATCGATGCCAACATCGATGTCATCATCGATGTTATTATCCCTATCTTAAAACTGTAAGGAAAGTTATTTGGTATTAGAGGTTTAGAGGGATTCTGGGTATAAAACAATATCACGACATTTATTGCAAATTTACTACTTTTAGTCGAGTTTTCGAGATTTGTTGAATAATTTCGACGTACGCGGTACGTCTCTTTTTTCTGTTTCTGTCTGTGTTTGTGCTTTGTGTTGTTAGCCTACACGGCTCTAACAGTCTTGCAGCTTCGTCGAACTCATGAAGATAAATTTTTACAGTGAGTGTCAATACGATTCACCTGCGAAAAATCTTAACACCGCAATTCAGAAAAGGTTGTAATTTGTACAACGCCATCTATTACGTTCTTTGTGAGAAAACATCCTTTTTTAATTTAAGGAAAACATATTTTTTTTTACTGTGTTTTAAGTATAAATATATTATAATAGAACGTTTTTTTTTTACACACGTATCTTTTTATTACTATTTCTGAGATTTTGTGGCGCCATTAAACAAATTCGAACCTACATTTCAAAATAATAATCATAACTTTCGATAGAATTAACCAATTTTAATAAAACAAAGATTAAATGTAACTCGAAGAAACGCTTTATGATTTTCTTAACGATTTCTTTGAAAAAAAAAGATGTTTACTTTAGACGTGATGCTTTCATATAAAAACAGACAAAGAGACAGAAAGACAATTCTAAAAATTATAAAAATGTACTTATTTAATTATTTTTAGTTCCCCATAATGATTTTAGTCACCATAATATATATATACAATGTACAGAAAGAGACACATGTTATCATCATTTTTATTATATGTATATATTTAAAGAGAGATGGCGCTGCTAACATCCTCAAGAGAACAACTCAAACAAAGCCACCGTTGAGCAAATTCCCTACCCATACTTGAGAATATTTATCATAACTTTTGATGGAATGAACCGATTTTAATGAAATAAAGACTAAATGTAACCCGAAGGTTTACTTTATAATTTCCTTAACAATTCTTATGATATAAATTAGTACTTTAAACGTGATACGTTAACAAACAAACAGACAGACAGACAGACAGACAGACAGACAGAAAATTCTAAAAATGGTAGAAATGTATTTAATTACTTATTTTTAGTACCCCTCAATCACTTTTATTACAAAAATATAAAATGTACAGACATCTGCTATTTACAATTTTATTATATGTATAGATAACAACGTTTTACTTATTTTCATATTAAAAGTATTTGCATTGTATAATTCTTACACAATCAAACTGTTGTGCTAAGTTCAGTTTTGATAGGTAATAGGGATAGGCTACCACCATTGTGCGATATTATAAAAACATTAAAACGATTGCAATAATTATTAAATGCAATTCGTGTTGTGAGCACTAGTAAAGCAAACAACAAGTAATAACACACTTTTATTACTCTTCCTGCGACTCCCGTAATAATAAAATAAAATAAATAAAATGTAATCGTTTATTTATATAATTTAATAATATAAATCGTTGAATAACCCGCTTGTTGATTTATTTTGCATTTACACCTTATTTATTAAGACTTGTTATTTTTCTTTCAACAAATAAATTTTTAACAAGTTAAAATAATTTCAAATTTTACTTGTAATTCCCTCAAATTTTCCGCATTACAATTTCTGACTGAAAAAAATAGTTTAAACGTTTGTTAATTTGATTGTATAAAACGACGCTTTTTTAATTTTAAATTTATATTCCCTTTATGATTATGAATCATAATATCATATGTTGCTCCGACCATATATATTGTTTGAAAATTGCGCCAAAACCAAGTGGATTGGTCGGTCCTTGTTTATTTCTCCATCTTATTCTAATTACTTTTGGCGCTTTTTTTAAAATTTATCCTATGCTACCGCAGCGCCACCCTTTTTGGACGCGTTTTTACGGACACTTTTCATATACAGAGATGGTCCTCCTTCTACTCTATACTTACTCTATACTCCATGGTCAAAATTAATTTTAATCGTTTTTTTTTAAGCTTATGGCCTGGTATCTAGACCTTTAGGCCATATAATTGGTTTAATAAAACTGACTTGACACTGGCAGAATTCTATCTATAATTATAATAAGAGAAGCCATAATTTAAAAGAAGAAGAAAAAGAATGGTTTAATAAAGTATTAGTGCTGCCAGAACAAAAAAAAAAACAATGCTAACAGCCATACAAAAGGCGCTAGATTCGAATTCGATGACATTAGGTGCTTTTCCAATTATCGCCACGGCACCGGCACAGCGTCACCGCCGGCACCAACCCGGCTGCCGGGGAAGCAAAAGTGTATTAAATGTATGGAATATGCGGGAAGAGATTCCACTTATCAGCGCCGGCACGGGGAAGACTCCCACCGATTACGTTGCCGGTGCCGGGGCAGCAAGCTTCCTGCTCGGTGCCGGCCGGTAAAATTGCATGTGTATTGCTGTACGTATTGTAACGTGTGTATGTGTGTGCGTGTGCACAGGCCGAGGTAGAAGGGACCCGTTGAGATTGAAACTCGAAATTAACTTGTGAAATGATTAAATGTTTTCCAACGAATATATACTACAAAAACAAATAAATTAAAAGGCTTGTGTGCAGTTCACAGGGCACACAAGTGAAACCTGCAGAAAGGTAAACTTCGGGTGAATGAGACGAATGCGGATATATGAGGAGTAGGATAATTGTAGGGTATATTTATTATAATATTGTTACACATTTATTGTAATATTGATATAAAAATCCACGCAGATAGAATAATAACCTTGATGGAATTTTAATTAATGGATACGAAGGCTCGATTGTATATTAAAGTAAGGATTATAGGGCTGTATCACCCCGATGGTCTCCTAATCAAAAAAGGAGTCCAGGGTACTTTATACCCTACTACACTTATTAAAACCTTAAAGCTTGTGATAAAACTTGGAAAACTCTTTAAATTGAAGACTATACGAACAGAATTCTGAATTTAAAAGTCATATACTCTCGTGTTCATTTAATCACACTATATGGTTAGAAATATTTTAATAAACTTTGTAACCACAGACTAATATGAAGTTTACGCATTTTGTAACAATATTATAACAAATATTTCCTACAATTATCCTACTCCTGATGTATCCGCATTCGTCTCATTCACCAGAAGGTTTCACTTGTGTGACCTGTGAACTGCACACATGCCTTTTAATTTACTTGTTTTTGTAGTCTGTATTCGTTGGGAACGGAGTTTTGGCGGGAACTTGACCTACGACTTATTGTTGCTCCTGTTTTATTGTTTAAATAATGGTTTAAAATGAATTTCTATACGTAAAAGTGATGCTATTTTGTGTATTGTCTGCTCATGTGAACTATTAGAGAAAACGACGATACAAGTGATTAGATGTTGATATAAACTTCAAGTTATTTTGTCCACTGGGTTGAGCTGTCGTCAGGATCTCCCAAAAACTTCGTAATGTGATGAATCACCATTTTGCATTTTTGTGAAGAAAACCTCTATAAAAACGAAGATCCCGAATGAAATGATAACATGGCTTAAAAGACAAGCATCCAAGCCAAAATTTTTATTTAAAAAAATAGTTCGTAAATGGTAATCAAAGAAATAGAACAAGGTTTATTTACATTTATTTATCTATGTTTATTTATCATAGAACAAGTAATAAGTATGATTTTTATTGCTATATTTAGCAAAAGTTATTAAAATTAAAATGTCGGGAACTAACAGCTTAACACCTCCATCGGGAGTTGTACGGAATAGCGCCCTATCTTTTGTTGCGCCTGCGCAGCCTCCGATGAATTTACCTGTTTAGTCAGGTATCGTACAAGATTCGGAATCAAGAGGTAAATTTTTTAAACAAGATTTTATGATTTAAACAGCAAAAGTTTATGTCGAATATCCCTAAGTTTTTTTTAATGATATAATCAACTGCCTAACAGTCCGACTGAGTACAATTACACAGCTCTGGGTCACTTGCAAGGGTTACCAGGCCTAAAAATGCAAAATTCTGTCTGACATGTCTAAAAATCCTGATTTTGAAAAAAAGTCCGGTCACACCTGCATTAAATAAAAATCATAGTATTTAAGTACGTTTTTATTTACTTATATTATTTAGACCCATATTTTTGGTTGCTAGCAATCGCATGCAAAAAGTTGTTTTTTCCAGCTATTTCGCAATAAAATTGTTCACACATCACGTGTTAATAGTTATTTTGCGTAAGCAATATGGCTCTCACTGACTCCACTGAAAGTCTGTTTCTCTCTTTGGTCCACTGAGAAGTCATGAGAGAAAAGACTCTCTCCACATTTGCGTTGTGTGGCAAAATACTAAAGAAATATTAACAAATCTTCAGAAATTCTGAAACTCTTGAGCTGTCGTTAATTGTATTAAAAAAGATACACCATTGCTTTTCAGCGAGCTCGTCATAAAAATCGCTCTGTTTTGTGTTCAGAAAATTCTTAAGCAGGCAGAACTCTTCAAATAGTTTTGCGTCATCTACAGGAATTCCTTTGTCCCTCAAAAACACTAGAGCATCTGTGATTTTTTCAAATTGTAGATCCTTCTTTAAACACATCCATTCGAAGCATTTTAAGGATTGTAAGGGTGTTATTCAAAGGTTTATGTAGTTGATACATTCTTCGTACATTTGTTTTATTTCGCTATTTATCTGCGTTTGGTCAGCTGCGGTAATATTGTGTTTCTGAAAAAGCTCTCGTACTTGCAAAGGAATGAAATTTTGCTCGATTCTTTGATTGAGTGACTCTGTCGTTCCATTTAATGCACTGAGGACTTCGGCGATTGAGTTTTTCTCTTTTTCTAGCGAAGCAATCCTTTTGTGAAATATAGCCATTAGAGAATGCAGATAGAACAAATATATCTCACTAGTTTAATTTTCGAAGAACTTTTTTATCAGAACAGGTACTTTTTCTGTTGTTGTAAAATACTCCTTCAATGGCTCGTATAGTTTGAGAATCCTTTCTATAGCTGGAAAAAGACTAAGCCATCTTGTCTTGCTGTGATAAAGGAGTTTTTCATAGTTTATATCTACGTAGCTGCACAACTCTTTTAGCTTTTCTGTTCTTATAGTGTATACCGAAAAATGATTAAAGATTTTCATCACTAACGATTCAACGTCAATGTCTAACAAATCGGTTGCGTGGCGTATTGCATTATGTAACATATGAGCAGGACAACCGACACCTACTATCTCTTGCTCTAGATTCCGGTTCAAATGGGTGATAACGTTATTTCCCTCATTTCGTGTAACACCTCCAAAGTTGACATTAGCATTATCACCCGTAAAAGAAACACATTTACCTTTTAAATTGTATTTTTCAAGAGTTGCAAGCAAGTAATTTGCAATAGTCAGCGAAGTCTCATTTTCCAAGGATGTAAACTCAAGCATTTTGCTTTCCATGTCAGTCTTCCAATCAAAGTATTGAATGATTATCGGAAATATTTTATCAGCGTTGTGGTTACTGGCATCGGTTGACAATCCAAAAAACACAATGTCTTCTAGTTTTTTAAGAAGAATTTCGATAGTATACGGCGCAATGACATTATTTATAATATCCTCTGTTTTGGTGCTTGCGCAGGCTAGATTTTTTGCCAAATCAGAATCATGAAATAGATTTTTTAGTAACTGCGAAGTACAGTCCATACTTTTGTAAGATTGGTGGTGTTTAACTACATGAAAAGCAAGCGTGGCATCAACAGCACTACTTTTGTTACCTTTTTGGGTAATGAAAGTATCAATCTTACTTGTACTGGCGCACAATCGGTTCTTCTTTAAGTGCTTTTCTGTTTTTAAATGTTTTTCTATGTCAGCTCCACCTTTGTATCCAATCGACACAAAACAATCACAAATAGTACACTTCACTTCCTGGTCATTTCTATCCTCAGTAAAAGAAGGATATTTAGATTTTAACACATCCGTGAATTTACAACGTTTTTTGTTTGCGGACGCCATTATTACGATGCGTGCGTACTGTTAGGAGGGCCGCTCTGAAGGTGTTTTTAAAAAAAACTTTTACACCCAATCCCGGAAGTTCTTTTGGTTTATTTCCCCAATATTAAAATAATACAAAAAATGTACTAAAGCCGCGAACGGCGTGTGCGATATGCACTTAATATGGGTTGGAGCTGCACTGCCTCGATTACCTCAAACACTACGCTTATATACGAAATAAAATAATCGGGTCAGCGCTTTTAACTAAATAAGGTTGGATATAACAGTATGACGAGAAATATACACAAGTAGCTTTGTTTACATTAATTTGCGGTCCGTCCGTGCGATGCAGTCATGCAAGGGAGGGTAGCGGGCGGGGTGCCGCGCCGCCCGCGCCCGCACAGTGCGGTGTGCTTGCGTTCCGGTTCCGGGTAGAGATGAGACATACTTGCAAAATTTAATACCAGGGCTTCTAAGTACGAGTATGGAAAAATACCAGGGTCGAAAACCAGGTTTTAAAAATACTTGAAAGTATTTGTTAATGTCAATATATATATGAATGCCTAATTTGATTCGGTGAAAAATTTATACTGAACGTTTTTAAATTTTTTTTGGTAACGAAATGAAATCTTTCCTTCCTACTTTTCGGCTTAGGACTCTTAATAAAAATAAAAGTTTCTCTAAATTCAATATACACGCGAAATAACTATTTAAATATTAGGTTACGGTCAGTAGGTTACGTAATCAGTTCACAATAACATTTGAATTTACAAGAAATGGAAACAAAACTTTTACTTCCTCGAATATAAACATAATTCTTATTACTTACTAGGTGCTTACGCGACATGTCCAGCCGCGGTGTCAGTTTGAAAATACTTGCAAAGAGTATAGTAATATATAAGGAAGAATACTTGCATAGGAATTCGACCCGCTTTCCATATTAGGCTATTATGACTAAGGAGCAAAGTCGTATAAATAAAAAAAATACTTTGAAGTTCAAAGTATTTTTCATTCACAAATACGATTGAGTTTCTTATTACTATTGAGATATGGATCATTTTCCTATGTAAGTATTCTCATACTTGCAAGTATTTTTTGGTCGTAAAAGGGCGCCGTACTTTAAAGCGTAAATACGTCTCATTGCGACGCGAGGGACGTGTCCAGCCGTGGTGTCAAAATCTGAAAATACTTGCATAGGAATTTCACCCGTATTCCATATTATCCTACTATGAATAAGGAGCAAGTATTTTTCGTTCACAAATACGATTGAGTTCCTTACTACTATTGAGATATGGATAATTTTCCTATGCCAAGTATTTTCATACTCGCAAGTATTTTTTGCTCGTACCAGGGCGCCGTACTTTGAAGTGAATACCTGGTTTTAAAACCTGGTAGCGTAAATACGTCTCATCTTTAGTTCCGGGCTCAGTGCGTGAGTAGGTGCGGCACCCGTCGCTTGAGCGGGCGAGAGGACATGCAAGTATGACAAAAATCCGGGCGGAGTCCGGTCTAACACGTAAAAATCCGGTCTAGACCGGCTTTATCCGGTCAGATGGTAACCCTACTTGCAACCAACCAAGTAAAGAAGGCACCGTTTGCATTGACTTAGATGTTTCACAGCTCGTATTAATTGTTCCTTTCTTACCTTTCAAAATTGCCATCGATGACGGACCAAATCATTACATTCGTGGGATGTTTAATGGTCTTTACGACACAGTCAGGATGAAATTTTTCTCCTCGGCGATGACCGACAAACAGAAGAATAAATAATAAATAGTACATCATAATAAGAGAGTAAATAATAAAATTAATAGATAGTTATAAATTCTCAGAAGTACAAATTTTTATCACACATCTGTTTGGCCCACTTTAGAAGATTTGCTTTTATTACAGCTGACAACTTGGGCTTTTTGGCAGGTTGCATATTAAACCTGTTATTATAAAAATCTATACTGCATCTAATAATTTGGCCAGGCACTACATTATAACTTTAATATAAATTATATTGAAATTATAATGTATAATTATAAAGATAATTAAATTATCAAGTATAATTTAAATTAGCCTAATATCAATGTTCCACATGTAGACTGTGTCTATTAATCAAAACAATGTCAATATAGGCTATAAAGAAAAAATAAGCAAAAGTTTTTATGAAGTGTAATTGTAAAAAATAATTCTTCGGAAAGAAATAAGATATGATATAACAATATTGTCTACATTTAGGCATAAATTATAATCTTAAATGCAAATTAATTTTTATTAAGCACATATTATTGTATGTAGGAGGAATGGGTCAGTTTGTCCGAGGCAGGACCACACTTTTAGATTATACCAGTATAATATAGCAGTTTAATGCTGCTGAGTTTCATATAGTGAGTGTAAACAACTGGAGACTGTTTTTACTGGAAACAAGGCATTTCCATCTTAGTCCTCACGATCCACAGTCTGCCACATCTGCATATTGATTCTTAATTTTTAAATGTATTTAATAACTCTGTAGAACAGTAGCTAAGCTAGTATATGTGACCATTGTTGTTAAGTTACAGCTTATTGCACTGCTGGACACAGGCATCCTCTCATTTCTGCGAGGGTTTTTAGGGCAAAGAATTGTCCACCGCGCTGCCCCAATGCATGTTGGTGAACTTCACATGTCTTCAAAATATTTTTTTTTCTTATTTCTCAGACATGCAGGTTCTCTCACGATGTTTTCCTTCACTGCCGAGCATGTGGTAAATCAGCACTTAAAATTGCAATTAACAATTTCATAGGTGCCAGCGGGGATAGAACCTGGGTTGCTTGCATACTGTGAAATTTACAGAGTAAGCTAACCATCTGAGCTACCATAGCTCGATGGATCTAATGGACCAATGGCATAAAAATAATTGTTTTAGGTCTGATATAATAGAATTATTTATTTATGTCTTTTTTATTACTAACTAAACAGACAACAAACTTACAGGCCACCTGATAGTAAATGGCTACTGCAGTCTATGAACGCCAGCAGCCAACTTCAAACAAAGAAGACTACAGAAGTATTGTCATCTCTGTAGACTAAGATGGAATACCTCACAGCTTATAATTATACTGGCTCTACCTCCACATCAGAACACAGGCATATCTCTAAAGATAAAAGCCCCCAAAAAAAGTAGAAAAAAAAAATTGTTTGGGTAACTTCCATTCAAGTCATCTCTTGCTAACTCTGCTTCTTAATTATCATAGCAAGTAATTTTTTTTTTATAAAAAAGTTACCTCTACACTACAATTTTCTCCTGTATCGTGGAGGCAGTTCACATACATAAATTTCACAAGGACAAACATCCAAACATCCAAACCCAGAACAATTATTTGTAGACCATACAAATACTTACTCCGTGCGGGGTTTGAACTCGCGGCCCTCAGCGCCGCAACTTATTGCTAGCCACTGCACCATGAAGCTGTTAAAAAACTGTAATGTAAATTATGATTGATTTATTTCTTACAGAGAGATTGGTGCCAGCGGGGCTGAAGGCTTTGTGCGATGCATATTCACGATTATATCCTGACCAGCCTAACCTATTGCAAGTTACCACTAGACTTAAGTATTGGTAAGTTTTTACTGATCTGCACAGAGTAAATAGTAGGTAGTTGCTGTTGGTGATAAGAGGGCTGGTTCTTTTCTCGCTCAAAGTTTACGTATAGCCATTCAGTGAGGAAACGCAGCCAGCGTTCTTGGCATGATATTTGAATGTTACGTTAATTTAAGTTTTAGTTTTTCAAATAATTTATATTGCCCAACGCACAACAATTGTGTGGGAGTGCTCTACTGAAATTGTTAGTACGTCTCAATTTAGACAATAAAAAAGGGATGTTTTGAAAACTAGATATATTAAATTATAATGTTAGCATATTGTTCTTCTTCTTCTTTTAAATTATGGATTCTCTTGATAGAATTCTGCCAGTGTCAAGTCAGTTATGGGAGTGACAAGTAAATATTTATTACATTAAAGAGTTCTCAATTTTACAAGTGGGTTCACAATCTACAACAAAAGACGTCACATTTTAAGTACCATCACCAAAATTGATTAGTAATTTTACAGTTTAATATTATTAGTACGAATAAAATCACACAAAATATTTACAAAAGGAGTATACACTAGGGACAACAAATACTGGAAATTTACAGGACGCGGGACGTAATGGGGCAGGATATTATAGAGAGGGTGAGAAAGATTAGGACACTCAAAGAACAGATGGTTTACGGATCCTTAGTCTAGCCCACATTCACATATTGAGCTATCCCTAATCCATAGTTTAGCCAAGTGTACCGGAGTACAAGCATGTCCAAAGCGAAGGCGACAAACAGTGGAGGTGATTGTTTTATTAAAGTGGCGATATTGAAAGAACCAGGGTTTTGATGGGATATTAATTTGGACTTTGGAATAGTGTCCGACAATTCCACTGGAGGAGGGTTAGGGACTCGAACTTTATATATTCTGGAGAAAAGGACATCTAGTTTGTTTTTCACGTTGAACGGTAAATGGGAATCATCAAATTTGCCAACAATATCTGTAAGGGAGGCCACAAGATTTTCTAGAAGATTGTCATTAGAGGATATTACATTGTTTTGTAGAGCATGTCCATTGGGGAGAGATGAGGAAGGAGTACTTGTAATGTTATAATGTGAAACTTTATCATAACCTACTGAAGATTGCGCTGGAATAGATTTGGCTTTATAGATGGTTTTCCTATAGGATTGGGAAGGCGATGGAAAAGTAGGATGGTTTATAGGAGCCTGAGTAGAGGGGAGATGGCTTGCAGGAACTTGTGAGAATGCAACATCAGAATAAGGTCTTCTGACCAATTCAAGCTGGGAAACGAGCAGGAGCCTCAAGGTATGACACATTCTCTTGCGACATTACTATCTTGATAGCTTTTTGCCTTGAGTGTTCAGGGCAACTTTTTTCAATGGCCGAATGATTTGCAGAGCAGAAAAGACAGGTTGGGGAATCTGTGGGACAATTTTCTCCAGTATGCTCTTT